GGTTCGCAGCCCGATTCGTAACCACTACGCTACCAGAGCTCCTTTACTTAGTCATGTGATAATAAGAGACTAAGACAAACAAGCTTACTTGTTTCACTTGAAATTCCTGGCCACAAATTTCCAATGGGCATTTAACACTGCCTGGAATAAATTTCTTTTCAGAATCTCCAGGAAGACAATTTCCCAAACTCTCTCTTATTTCCATCCCAAATCTCATCTGATGACTCTTCTTCATATTTCTTTGATTTTGTATCTTTATTTTATTTTGCATCAGGAGTTGTAGATTCCATAATCAATTAATGCAAGGCCAATTTTATTTTATGTCTATCCCCCCCCACCCCACCTTTCCCCCTCAATTCTTTCCTTATCTTCTTGTTGTTAGGTGCTATCTAGTTGGCGACCCCATATACAACAGAAACATTGCCTAGTCTGGAGCCATCCTCACAACTGTTATTATGTTTGAGCCCATTGTTGCTGTCACTGTGCCAATACATCTCACTCGGGGTCTTCCTCTTTTCTGCTGACCCTCTACTTTACCACGCATGATGTCCTTCTCCAGAGACTCATTCTTCCTGATAACATGTCCAAAATACATGAGACAAAGTCTCACCAGCCTTGCTGCTAAAGAGCATTCTGGCTATACTTCTTTATCATAGGCCTCTACTAATGCATTTCATTTATGTCCTTGAAAATTATATGTGTGTGTGTGTTGTACTTCTACAATTGGCATGCACTTCAGATATTATTCTGTATTTTTACCTTTTTCTCCCAACACTATTTTTAAGGAATCATCTATGCTTCAGTATGTTTAATTTGTTGCTTCTAAATGGCAACAGTAGTGAGGTTGGCCCAGGAACGGGCAGTGTTTCATTCTGCTGTGCATAGGAGTCGCTATGAGTTGGTACCGACTCGATGGCACCTAATATGCTATCTGGTAATCTATAGTATGCATCCACAATTTATTTCTCTAGTACCCCTCTGGAGGACATCTGTCTTTAATTCTCCATTGCTTCAAATGCTAACGTGAACATCTTTGTATATCTGTTCTCTAATGGATGCATGTGATGAACCTCCAGGTATGTTATCCAGTGGCAGACTACTAGATAAAAAGGTTCATACATACTCTTTTTGATAAAGAACTATGAGGCTTTTCCCTAGAATGGTTTACACTCCCACCATCACCATGTAAGATTCCCATTCTCCTATGCCCTCTATAGCAGTTTTTACTGTTGATTTTCTAATTTTTGTTAATCTGATGCTTACAGAGAAGCATCTCAGAATTGTTTTAATTTGCATTTCTCTGCTCACGAATGAAATTAAACATCTCTAACACACATAAAAGGAGGTATGGTAGCGTAGTGGTTACGAATCGGGCTGCGAACTGCAAGGTTAGCAGTTGGAAACTACCAGCTGCTCCGTGGGAGAAAGATGAGGCTTTCTGCTCCTGTAAAGATTTACAGCCTTGGAAACCCTGTACAGGGTCGCTATGGGTCGGAACGGCACTTAACAACAACACACATAAACCACAAACTAAACCCACTGCCTTGGAGTTGCATCCGACTCACAGTGACCTTGAAAGACGGAGCAGAACTGCTTCACAAGGTTTCCGAGGCTGCAACTATGGGAGCAGACAGCCACAGTTTCCTCCTGTGGAAGGACTGGTGAGTTTGAACTGCCAAGCGTTTGGTTAACAGCGGACTGCTTTAACCACTGCAGCACCAGCTCGGCAGCTATTGTTGAGTCTCCTTTCTGTGAATCACCAATTATTCAAAGCTTTCTTCAATTTCCTATTGGGCTTTTTCTGTTTTTCAAGTTGTTTTGCTGATCCTAGTTATCAATCCATGGTATGTTTCAGACATACCACCCACTGCTTTCAACTTGTTTTTAAAAACAACTTTATTGAGATGTAATTTACATACCAAAAAATTCAGTAAATCCTTAGTTTTTATATAATCAAGTCCAACAATTTCTCTGCATATGGGTATGCTTTTGGGATCTTGTAGTGGTGGTGGTGTGCCACGGAGTCGCTTCCAACTCACAGTGACCCTGTATAGGGTTTCCGAGGTTTACAAATCTTTACAGGAACAGAAAGCCTTATCTTTCTCTCATGGAACAGCTGGTAGTTTCTAACTGCTGATCTTGAAGTTAGCAGCCTGACTCGTCAGAAAAATTTTTTCCCATCCCAGGGTCACAAAGATAACTCTTATGGTTTCTCCTATTAGTGTTATTTAGAATTTTATCTTTAGATCTTTAATTCATCTTTAGGACACTTTTGCATATGGTGTGAGATAGGGAATTGACTTATTTTTCTCCATATTGTGAGCTAGTTTTCCTAACCTAAGTAGATTTCCCCAATGAACTACGGTATGAACTTTATCATATATCAGGTTCATAAATGTACAGAGTTTTGTTTGGGAGCTATGCTTTCTTGGCCTCTTTTTCTGTTCATGTGCTAGTAGCACACGGTATTTAAGACAATAGTTTTGGAGTAGTTTTACTATTTGGGAAGTTAGATCCCCCTTCTATGTCTTTATCAGCACAGTCTTAGATATTTAAGGTCCTTTAACTGGGGTGGCACTATAGTCTAAGTACTCAATCACGAGGTGGGTTTGAATTTAACAACAATTTCCCATACAAATTTTAGAATAACTTTAATGAGGCCATAAACTTTTTTTTTTCTGCTTAAATTTGTACTGGAATTGAATTTCTAAAAAAAAATCTAAATTGGGGATAATTGATGTCTTCATAATGTAAAATCATCCCATCCATGAGTGTATACATCTGTTCTTTATAAAGTACGTCACCAATGTACTTTAAAAAAGCTTTAAATTTTCCTCATAAAAGTTTTGTGCATCTCTTTGTTGTTAGGGTTCTTATATATTTTATAGTTCAGGTTATTATTATTATTTTTTAAGGTTTTTATTGTGGACTGAATGACAGTTTACAGGGCAGATCATCAGTTTCACATTCAACAAATCATACACCTTGTTTCATTACAATGATTATAATCCCCTCCATGTACCATCAGTTAACAGTATTTCTTATTCCCTTTAGCTTTTTAAAACAAAAAACAAACAAACAAAACCCACCACTCAGGCATACATAATAATTTACACTTCCAAAGGGCACATTCAGCAAGTCTGCTTCCTGGCCACCAGCTCTTAGTCCTTCTCTTCCCCATGAATCTAGAGTCCTTAGCTGCTCCCCTTCTCCATGACCCCATCTCTGCCTCCGTCTCTGGTGCTGCTGCTTCTCTGGATAAGGTCCTGCATTCTGCTTGTGCTCTTCTCCCTTGATGGTCCTAGGGTCCTCTGTTTCTGGACTGTAAGATTAACCACTCCCCTGATTTTATTACAAAACTTCTACCTTTACAATTGTGACAGTTGCAATTAGTCATGATAACAATTAGTCACTATTGAATCCTACGAATCTTATCCCCATCTATTTCACCAGACCCATCTAGACAAGATGAAATCTATTCAGTGGGGACTCTGTTTTTCCTCCCA